TATTACAAGGCTTGGGGGGGGGGGGGGGAAAGGGGGGTGGTCTGTACGGAAGTGTTGAATGTTGCCAGGAAGTAATTCATAAACGATACATTTATCTGCTCGATACTTGCAAGGCTAAAAAGAGTGGTGGGATGGAGGTCGGCTCGGGAAAAAAATTGAAAGAGACAACAAAGCGTTTATGTACGTCAGCATCGCCCCCTGTAAAACTTACTCAGGGGAGATAATTCCAAGTATAGGCCCTAAAAGTTTACTATTATATTACTTGTAAAATAAAAAAAAGTAAACGTATATAAAACTGAAGTTTCTAGTATTATATTTTTTTTTATTATTTGTAGGATACAACATAATACAGGATACAAATTCAACCATTATCACAAACACCTATTTAACATTGAAAAATGTTTAAAGAATTTCGGGTCCCTAACCAATGTCGCAAAGAAGAACCGCGCATCACGAAAGCCCACTTCATATGTAGCGGCTTCTCGTGCCATGGACTTTGTTGTTTTTTTAAAAAGAATTTTGCCGGCGACAGCGTGTGTTTGGTTGTAGGGAAATAGAACTCGGCCTTGTTGGTGCCCATCCCTTGCCCCATCCGCCACAGTACACTTTGGAGGATCGGTCAAACAGTTACGTGTCCTCTATTTGGCTATCAAAAGGGGGTAACGAGTCAAAGAAGTCATATTTTTTTAATAACCTGGAAGCATATTGACTGTAATTGTATCGTAGGGACCTTAACCCGGCATGTGTATAATGGGCTGCAGCATCCTACACGCCTAAGTAGAAATGTAACAGATGACCACTAAACTAAAAATTAATACAGTACAAGAAATACTTTTTTTTTAAAATTAAGACATGGCGACCTAAAGCTAAGGACGCTTTATTATCTTAGGCTTATTTCTGTAGTCCATTGAGGAATGGTGGGTGTTGACATGAGCCATTATCATTATGTCGGGAGCCGTATGGACGCGAGCCAAAATAACGAGCCTTTTTGTCAGGAACCATATTGACGGGAGCCTATTTGTCACGAGCCTACATAACGGGAGCCTATATGACGGGAGCCACATAGACGGGAGTCAATTTATCGAGAGTCTTAATGACCGGAGCCTTTTTGTCATGAGCCAATTTAACGGGAGCCAATTTGACGCGAGCCTAAATGACGGAAGCCCTTTTATCAGGAACTATATTGACGGGAGCCTTTTTGCTGGGAGCCCTTTTGTCTGGAGCCATTTTTGTCGTGAGCCTAATTGACTGGAGCCTAAATGACGGGAGCCTAAATGATATGAGCCAAATTGTCGGTTGTCTTAATGACGGGAGCCTATTTGTTAGAATCCTTATTGATGGGAGCCCTTTTGTCGCGAGCCTTATTGACGGTAGCCCTTTTACTGGAGCCTAAATGACGGGATCCATTTGTCTTTGAACCTTTTGACGGGGCCAATTTGACGGGGCTATTTTGACGGGGCCGTTTTGTCGGGGTTGTTTTGACGGGGCCGTTTTGTCACGGGCCGGTTTGACGCCGCACGGTTTTAAACATCAGTGTGACTGATGCAATATGCTAGCGTTACTAATGGTCTATTATTAGATGCTCGATCTCAATTTCTGACTGGATTGTCTAATAATAGATGCTTATTGCATCATTAGCAAAGTGACGAAACTCTACAGTAGGCTCCTCATATTCAAAGTTATTTTTTATCTTTGGCAAGGTGACAAACCTGTACAGAAGGATTTCCTCGCGTTGCAAAGTTAGTTTTAGAAGCCTGTTGTAGTTTTACCGCTGAATATAGTAGTACCCCTTATTCGCTATGCAGGATGTTCGATTAACAGATGCCAAGTGCCAACATAGTCGCTCTAAAACTTTGGGCGCCAAACTAGGGCGCCTAATCGCCCCCTGTCGGGGTTTGGGAGGACGAGTCTGATTTGATTTAGTAACTGATTATTATTGTTCATCGTATCTTTAATGTAGGCTACAGCCTATTTTTTAAAAACGTAGACGCCATAGTGCTCAAACGGGGCGCTTTGAGTTAAGCAATCGCCTGGGCGCCTGCGGCTGCGTCTGTAGCAGTTTTACCACTTAATAGTAGTTCCATTTAACCGCTATCCAAGTTCTAAGATAGATGCACTGAAAATCTTGGCGCCAAGCTGTATAGTGACAAAATTACACTCTCAGTGGCGCCGATCAAATGCATTTGTTTTTACTCAGAAACCTGCTCGGGTGTATTCTTATCAACTCTCCAAAGTTTCTTGGTGATCGGATGAGCGCAAGTGACGTGTATTTTTATATATCGTTTATAGAAAAGAATCGAATCACGCTGTGCTGGGGCAATGTCCTTGAGAAATATATTATTTTGTTTTTGTACAGAAACTCTTTTAGGAGTATTCTAAACAACTTTCCAAAGTTTCATAGCAATCAGATGAAAGTGTAATAATGTATAAAAAGACACACACAAAAGTACGCACACACACAGCATACACACACAGATACTTTCTTTTTATATTAATATATAAGATTTGTGAGGTATTTTATCATTTTGCAGATGGAGAACAACAGCCTACAAATTGTAAACTCGGTGACCTCATATCAAATGGCTTTACTGTTAGAGTATCTCATGTAATAGATATGGAAAATATTTGTCCCGTTAAATGTGCTGTAAAACAAGCTTTCATTTCGGATGACACTGAATCAGCAACGTTGGTAAGATCTCTTTAATCACATTTAATTTGTGAGACTCTGACTTTCACGGTGTTTGTTTATGGGCATTGTTTTAAATGAATAAAGCGTAGCCAATAACACAAGTAAACTTTAGAGATATACTAGACTACCCGTCATCCGATGGATAACTGTGGGTTTCGGGGGTCATCCATAAAAAAAACATCACGTCTGTCACTCAGAGGCGTAGCGACCCTTCCGTGCGCCCGGGGACAAACTTTTCGATGTGAACCCCCTGCCTCAAGATTTCGATTTGCACCCCCCCCCCCTCAAACTTTCGATGTGCAACCCCCTCAACCTTTCAATTTATTTTTCCAACCCATTTTGGCACTCCTAAGGTCGGAGCCCTGGGACATATGTCCCCACCCCCTCGCTATACTACTGCAGACCCTACATTCAAAAAGATGTTTTTTATCTTTTAAAAACACCGAAAACACCGATTTCGGACTATCCCTTCATATACTAACGTCACAGGTGACTTACTCAACTCTACTTCACCTGCCCAGTGTCCCGCCAAGTCTAAGACAACATGTTTTTATCGTTTAAAAAAACGATTCCAGCCGAGCATGTCTCTGACAACACTCTCCCTTCATATGCTTAGGACAAAGAAACAGATGAACTCTACTTCACCTGCCCTGTATCCCGCCAAGTTCAGATAGGCAACTTTATCATTTAAATCTAAAAAAATAAATAAAAATTGAAAAAAATATCATTAGCTTACTGGTCTAGAACCCGTGCCATCCGCATGCAAGCCGATTACACTAACAACTTAGCTATTTAACTCATACGTCATATTTGACTTATACTATACTTTAATACTTTGAGTCGCTTATGCAACTTGATTTACGCGCATAGATCTAGCTCTAAGTCCAGTAGTAGTAACTTTCAAATTAAATTTTATCTTAAATTAGCCAAACAAAGATTTATATAACATAATGAAGGTTTGAAATTATCTAGATCTAGATAGAATTATCTAGATCTAGATTCTACGACTCGTTTGCTTAAGTTTTAAGTGTAGATTTTGCGTAACTCTTGCTAGATCTAGTATCTAGATCTAATCATTAGCTACGCTAATAGGCCCTGGATCGAGCATTTCAAAGTAAGCATATTCCAAACAAAGATTTATATAAAATAATAAAGGTCTAAAATAGTTTAGTATATAGTAACTCATTATTATCTAAATCTAGATAGAATTATCTATATTTTAGATCTACGACTGAGCTGTATCTAGAAATTACGTTTATAATTTAGCAAAATTAGCGGTATTGAAGCCGCGTATGAATCTTAAGCTACACTAATAGACCCTGGGTCGAGCATTTCGAAATTAGCATATTCCAAACAAAGATTTATATAAAATAATAAAGGTCTAAAATAGTTTAATATATAGAAACTCATTATTATCTAAATCTAGATAGAATTATCTAAATTCTAGATCTACGACTGGTTTGCTTAAACCTAGTAAAAATTTTTTTTTAAATTGTATTTATAACTAACAAATCTTTGTTTTGACCTACATTCTAGATCTAGATCTATAAATAACTCTCTTGGACAGATTGTAGAGCAAGAGAAATTTAATGTAAAACTAAATGAAAAAGACAGTTGAAAATTTATATAAGTGTTGGAACGTAATGAATACACAAACGCACGTATTGTTAAAGTTATAGCCGACAGAAAATTAGCTTTAGAACGTGTTAAACTTTGGACTTGGCCACAAAGTCAATGATGGAAGCCGGTATGTTATTGTACTAAAAAGTAAACATAACTTGTGACGTCACTATTCAGCCAAAAAAGCCATTGTTCTAAAACTTTAAAATAAATGTGGTTAATCCGCCTTTGAATAAATCAATAAATTAATTAACGGCTTTACATTATTTTGTAATTAACAGTGTGTTTAAGAAAGAACAATATTTACCACCCAAAATCCTATTTTACAGCTCTAAACATAATGCAGATTCTCTCCGATAACAAATCTAAAAAAAAAACATGAGTTATTAAACGTCACTTTTCAGTCAAAGTTTAGCCATTGTTCTAAAACTTTAATTTTGAAGTGGTTAATCTACCTAAGAATAAATCAATAAATTAATTAACGTCTTTAAATAAATGTGTGATTAACAGTCTGTCTGCAATCAAAAATTATTCTCTACCTACATACTATTTTACAGCTCTTCACATAGAGTAGAACCATTTACAATAGTCAATCAGACAAACAAATATTCATGTAAACAAAGTTGAGTTTTAGTAGTATACATAGATAGCGTAAAATAACATAAATTAATTTTTTTACTTTGAGAAAACAATGGACGAGGAAATAAAAGTTGTTCAGCAATTGAAGCATCATAGAATAGTAGAATACTACGGCAACAGCAGAACTGATCGAGTGTTATCGTTGTTTATTCCTTATATGGAAATGGTAATACAATTTGGCAGTATATGGCAATCTAATCTAAGTATCATTTGTCAAGCATTTTAATAGTACATAAACTGCTTGATTACTAGTTCAAAATTTGTACTCTTTAAAAATCTAAATATAATATTTTATAAAATAATCAAAATATGAATTATTCATATTTTTACACTTTTTAAAGGGCTCACTGGCAAAATTTATGAAATCAAAACCCGACGAACGGCTCTCAGAGTGTGACACGTCTATGTTTACATTTCAAGTACTTGAAGGACTTGATTATCTCCATAAACAGAGTGTAATTCATAGAGATATAAAGGGTAAGTTGATATATTGAAAAAAAATTATTATTCGTACATCTATATCTCCATATGTCCTTTCTCCACCCATCTATCCCCTCACCCACCCAACTTTCCATTCATCCCAAGAGTCGTCGATCTTCATTCAACACATTAGTCCATTTCATCTATGTAGTAGGCCTATATTTTATTACAAATCTACGTTTTTAGTGTTTGTGAATTTTAATTTTTACTTTCTATTTAATTCATTTCTAACAGGTTCAAATATCTTAATGCTTGATGCAAAGAACATTAAAATATCTGATTTCGGTGTAGCTAAAATTTTGAACACGTTATCGCGAGCACATACACGAGAAAAGGGATCAAGGAACTGGATGGCACCAGAAATGTTCCAGGAAGAGGCTGACTATAACATAAAAGTTGATATATGGTCAACTATTTTAGAACTCAGTGAGCCTATTTTAAACTAATATAACCCTTTTTCAAAGATTTTTTTTTCTCTAGGAGCTTAGGTTGCACAGTTTATCAGATGTTTACTGGGACCATTCCTTTTAATGAATTAAATGAGGTTCAAATGATAGCTAAAGGATCACAAAACACATTGGAATTGATTGCACCTGAACATGCACCTCCGAAGCTTAAAGACTTTTTAAGTCAATGCTGTAGAAAAAAACCAAATGATAGACCTACAGCAACAGATTTATTAAAACATGGATTTGTAAGAGGTAAAAATACGATTACGTGTTACACAGTTGCATGTTTTACAAGCTTTTATTGAACTTACTAAGTGATATACACTTTAGTTAGACGTTTTATTTGATCCAAATAACTACAGGTCAATGTCTATTTTTTCTTCCCTCTCCAAACAGTTAGAGATGCATATTAAAAAAGCCATGTCAAATTACCGAAAAAACCATAATCTTTTCCACTCGAATCAATCTGGGTTTAGAAAGTTTCATTCTTGTCACACAGCTTTGATTTAACTGAATGAAAACTGGCTCAAGCATATTAACAAAAACATATTTAGTAGCTCGCAGTTCGTCGATTTTAGAAAAGCCTTTGATTCCATTGATCATACAATACTTCTTAAAAAATTAATTCCTTACAAATTCCACACATTTATAGTTGGGTTACTTCACTCCTTTTTACTTTCTCGTATATACGAAATATAGAGAAAGCATTGTAATCGTGCACAAAAATAACATGAAATTTTGACAGTTTTCACCGTTTTACTCTTCAGTCCTTCATCACATCCGGAGTATAGAGGACTTATTTTAATCAGGAAAAAATTATAAATACAAATATATTAACGTTTTGGCGTTTTATGCGTTATCGAGTCGTAAAAACTGGACTTTGCAATTCTGTCCGTATGTCTGTGTGTCTGTGTGTCTGTCTGTGTGTAAACACGATAACTTGAGTACCGTTACAGCTAGGTTGATGAAATTTCATATATAAGTATTTTATCAAAATTGTAGATCCTGATCGACTTTTGAGTGATTTCCGATAACCGGAAGTGGTACTTTTTCTACTTTGAATTTTTCAAAAGCCTATAAGTTGCGTACTATTTTAGATAGATGCATGAAATTTCACACTTAACTAAAACATTTAATTCTCTATCTTCTATCAAATTTTGAGTAATTTCCGTTGAACAGAAGTACTAATTTACGCGATTTCCGATTTTTCAAAAAACGCATGTAAATTTATAAAGTACTAATAATATCCCGCACTTTTATACACATTTTATTAGGCGTTCACTTGGTGTGGGACGGAGTGGTCTGGCGGTAGAGAGATGGACTGCTAACCCGTTAGTCTCGAGTTCGAATCCGAGTTCAAGTCAGTAGACCGTCCCTGAGTCCACCCAACTCTTATGGGTACCTAACTCACGTTAGGGAAAGCAAAGGCGGCTGGGCATAGTGCTGACCACTGTTGGGTTCTAGAATCTAGGGGTATATAAATAACAGACAAATACGACGTATACAACAATAACACTAACACTCTATAATAACAATAATAATAAGATATTTAATAATATATACAGTACTAAAATAATAAATGTATCAAAAAGGGGTCTACAACATAAATACAATACTCAACACCACGTTCCACGTTCCACGTCCACAGCCACACTACAACTGACTGATTCACACACTGGCGCACCCTCTGACACCCGTCAACTGACACACCTGACGTGAACACCTCTCGCTCCATGTAACTACACTCAACCAAGGACTACAACCATAGTAAAGGGGGGGGGGGGGGGTACCTGTCACTCAAGCACACAACACACACACACAGCAGGGGACATGTAAGGGACACAACATCCCTCCCCTCCACCTTCAGATCTCTTTTCATCCAAGAGATCAACATCTCTTTGTCAAACATAATTAGCCATTGTTGGTGCCCAAGCTCGACTATTCCTAGGTCGCATCAATTTTGACCGGTGGGGACAGCGTGTTGCTTTGTATGTATCCAGCCTGGACAGTTTGATCCAGAGTGTGGTTTGTATCCAGCCTGGAGAGTTCGGTCCAGAGTGTGGCGTGTATCCAGCCTGGAGAGTTCGGTCCAGAGTGTGGCGTGTATCCAGCCTGGAGAGTTCGGTCCAGAGTGTGGCGTGTATCCAGCCTGGAGAGTTCGGTCCAGAGTGTGGCGTGTATCCAGCCTGGAGAGTTCGGTCCAGAGTGTGGCGTGTATCCAGCCTGGAGAGTTCGGTCCAGAGTGTGGCGTGTATCCAGCCTGGACAGTTCGATCCAGAGTGTGGCGTGTATCCAGCCTGGAGAGTTCGGTCCAGAGTGTGGCGTGTATCCAGCCTGGAGAGTTCGGTCCAGAGTGTGGCTTATAGGATTTCATCGGCTGGGCACCAAGCTCGTGGTCTGGCTATCTCAACCTATAATGATACATGTGAGAAGCTTCAATAGTTAAATTCTCTAACATCATCATACTATACTGCAACGATAATACGTTCATCAAACATGTCTCAATACAATCATATTATAATGCCTAAATAGTAAATTCCTGAACATCGGTAAACACACTATTTGTCATAGAAAACTCGTGATAGAATGTCTGCTGCAAAGTTTTCAGTCCCCTTGATATGTTCTACTGTAAAGGCGAACTCTTGTAGAGCAAGGGCCCACCGACAGATGCGGGAGTTGCCATAGTTGGCGCTTTGTAGAAATGCCAGAGGTTTATGATCGCATAGCAGCTTGAATTCTTTTCCATACAAGTATCTGGATAGTTTTTGTGTGGACCATACTATGGCCAAGCACTCCCTTTCTATCACAGAGAAGCGTTGCTCGCGTGGCAGTAGTTTTCTGCTCAAGAACTTAACCGGATGCAGGATGCCGTCCACTGTTTGCATAAGACAACATGCGATACCCACATTCGATGCGTCAGTCTGCAGAGAAAACGATTTTGACAAATTAGGTAATTTCAAAATAGGTTCCTTATTTAAATAACATTGGATAACCCGCAGAGCACATTCACACTCAGGATTCCACATTACCCTTGTGGGCTTGCCTTTTAATAAAAGTTCGGTCAGAGGGTTTACGATGGTTGCAAAGTGAGGGATGAATTTATTATAGTAGCTAGCTAGACCAAGAAGGCTGCGGACTTCCTTTTTGGTTCGTGGTGTCCCGAGCAGCAAGACCTTGTCAACATTAGCGGGATCGGGTTTTTGACTCCCGCCACCCACGACATGACCTAAAAAGGTGATGCTCGGGAAACCTAAAATTAACTTGCTGGGTTTAGCGGTCAAGCCGACCTCTCGTAGTTTCATGAATATTTCTTTTAACACCCTCAGATGTTCCGTCCATTCTGTTGAATATACACATATATCGTCAAAGTAGGACACTACATTTTGTATACCTTTTAACAGCTTTCTTATAACCCTGGCGAATACGGAGGGACTATTTTTTAAACCAAACGGCAAGTAGCGAAACTGGTAGTGTCCCGTCGGTACTCGGAACGCGGTGAACTGTCTACTATCCTTATGAACAGGGATCTGCCAGAACCCTTTCGTTAGGTCAATCTTGGAGAATATGGTAGCTGCTTGTAAGCTTACAAATATATATCTTCCGGGTCAGGGATTACCTCTGCATCGAATTTGGTAATTGAATTCAGTTTCCTATAATCAATACATGTGCGTAAGGAGCCATCTTTTTTTTTAACCATCACAACAGGTGATGAGTAAGATGAAGTACTTTCCTCTATAATACCCAGGTTGATCATGTTCCTGATTTCCTCATCCAGATCTGCTTTTAGGCTGAAAGGCACGGTGTACGGTCTTAATGTCACTGGTATGTCGGAAGTAGTCTCAATTTTGAACTTTTTAACTTTTGCCTTGCCGGGAATATCTGATATAATGTCAGAAAATTCATTCACGAGGCATGTGAGATCGTTTAACTGTTGTGGTTCCAGGCATGGGTTAAATATGATCTCTTTGGGTATGTGTGTCTCTGTGTACGAAATAGTGGGGATCATTTGTTTGTCGACTTCGGCTTCTCCTGGTCCCACGACATCTGCCTCGCTAATCACTGATGCCAGGCATCCGTGTAGCAAGTGTGTGCTGTCACCATCTGCTTTAGGCGGTTGTTCCCCGACTTTTCTATCGTGGTATTTCACGACTCTGTTGATGTGGTAAGTTTTGAGTTTGCTCCCCTTTTGGATGGTAACATTAAATTTTGTACTACGTTTTGTAACTTGGTAGGGCCCATCCCAGAAAAGGGATAATTTGTTTTGCCGTTTCGGTCTGAGGACCAGAACATAATCTCCCACACTAATGTGTTTAGGGGTTGCTGTTTTATCATACTTCAGTTTTGTCTTCCTTTTAAACACCATATCATTAGCGTGCGCTAATTCCATTGTTGTCTTGAGTCTATGTCTGAGATCCACTAGATATTCGTATACTGTTCTAGTGTCTTGATTCGTGCCTTCGTCGGTAAAGAGGTGTTTCAGTATTGACATGGGCCCTCTCATTTTTCTGCCAAATACAATTTCGTATGGGGAGAACCTAGTAGATTCGTTAGGCGCTTCTCTATATGCAAATAAAGCGGCCCCCAAGAATCTGTCCCAATCGTCCGGTTCATTAGCCGCTAACTTACGCAGCATGTGTTATAGAGATCCATTAAATCTCTTAACCATTCCATTTGAATTAGGATGGTATGGTGTAGTCTTGATGCCTTTTATGCCGAAGAATTTGTTGACCTGTGTGTACAATTCTGAGTTAAACTGCGGGCCATTATCGGACAGAATCTCCTCCGGGAAACCTATCCTTGTAAAAATTGTGCTCAGTGCCTCAATCACTGCTTCTGAGCTAATCTCCTTCAGCGCTACAGCTTCTGGCCATCTTGTGGCAGTGTCGACAAGAGTGAGGATGAATCTGTTTTTTCTATTGGTCATTTGCATGGGACCCACAATGTCTACTGCGACTTTAGTGAATGGTGTTGTGATGATATCCATTCTACCTAATTCAGCCTTACCTGCTCGGCCCGGGTATCTAGCTCTCTGGCAGACATCACAAGTTTTGCAATGCATTTTAATATCTTTGTCTGCTCCGGGCCAGGAAAACTGAGAATACACCCGCGCCCTCGTTCTTCTGATGGACATGTGGCCTGCCAAGGGTCCAGAATGTGCATTTGACATAACTAATAACCTCATGTTTTCTGGGACAATTAACTGTTCCTTGACAAATCCGGTTCGCTTATTCTCGTATGACTTGAATAGCAATCCCCATTTCACTGTGAATGAGATGCATCCACCTTTTGTCAATGACACCTCTTTTGTATTAGCTTTGTTCCAAAATGTCTTCAGCGTTTCGTCCTTCTCTTGATCCCTTCTGAATGTGTCAGCGTCTACATGGTGGAGCCCTGTGCCGACAATCGTGTTAACCTGTATAACGGGTTCTACACTCCCCTTATGAGCCATGGATCTGGTCACCGCATTGGCTTCAAATGATCCCGTGCCGCCCACATTACCTACAATCAAGTCTGCAACTGGGTTGTCAAATAGTGCCGCAACAAATGTGCCTCTAAGGTAGCTTGTTTCGACATCTACGAAGGCCGTAGGGTATTGGCGCGTTTGACCGTCTATTAGCCTTAGTGTTATGCAGTGTGGCAACTGTCTTGTCTTCTCTACTAAGCTAGCCCTACAACCAATTATGCTAAAGCCGGTGTCTCTAAGCACAGAGGCTGTTTTCCCATTTAGCTTACCAGCTTCTAAGTTAATTTTCCCCAAAGACCTTTTGAATAGATCTGATCTATCTATGGTTCCAAAGGAGCTCGACCGGTACGGAATTGCGGGGGATGTTGCGCTCCGAAGGTTTTCACAGGTCCCACAGTATTTTTGGTTTTCCGTTGTAGATGTTGTCCCGGCTAGTCAAGCCTGATCGGGATATACCTGGCTTTTGGAAGGGTACCATATGTCTGGCTTAGGGGTGGGACAGACCCTCGCGATGTGGCCAGTTCCTCCGCACGTGTAGCACGTGATCTCCCTCATGCCGTGTGGTCTAGAATGGCGCCCAGGTGATCGGGGTGCTGTATTTTGCCGGAGTACCTTCTCTGCTGTCGAACTTGCAGCAACGTATGGGGTGGTATGGGTCGCTGGCCTCGTCACTCTAACATTCTGAGTGTTTTTATAGTTGTCAATAACTTTAAGATTATCTTCCACACTTACCTTGGCGGCGTCATTCAGCCTCCCCAACAGGTCACGTGTGACGACTGATTTTATGCGATCAACAATCAGGAGGTTCACCAAGTCCTCAAACGTTTCCTTTGTCTCCGACTGCCGGACCCACGCTCTCAACGCGGCTTCTGTGTTGACTGCGAAGCTTCTCATATCGTCGTGTGTTGGTACCAGCTGGTGGAATCTGACCCTATACTTTTCCTCGTTGAAACCTGCGTGCGTGAATAACTTTACCTTTACTGACTCGAAGTCATGATGCAAGTTCAGTCCCGTCTCAACGAGGAAAGTCTTCAGTTGTCCACTCATCTTGTCCGTCAGAAGGAGCGACCAGTCCTTGGGGTCAATGCCTTGTCTCTTTGCTTGGCTCTCAAAATGCCTCACATACGCACCCAGGTCTTCGTCCACCGTCATCGCCGCCACGTCCCTCAAGCGGGGTACAGGGTTACATACCTTTGCTACAACCTCGACCTTCGCATCTTCCACCCTCCTCAACTCTTCCTTTACCCACTCCGCCAAACTGTCATCGGTCAGCCCAATTAGCTTTCCCTCCTCCTTCAAGTCACTTATTAGCTGTCTTCTGGCACTCCTAGTAGTAGCCATGCTAAACGGACGGGCCCCCAAATGTTGGGTTCTAGAATCTAGGGGTATATAAATAACAGACAAATACGACGTATACAACAATAACACTAACACTCTATAATAACAATAATAATAAAATATTTAATAATATATACAGTACTAAAATAATAAAAGGATCAAAAAGGGGTCTACAACATAAATACAATACTCAACACCACGTTCCACGTTCCACGTCCACAGCCACACTACAACTGACTGATTCACACACTGGCGCACCCTCTGACACCCGTCAACTGACACACCTGACGTGAACACCTCTCGCTCCATGTAACTACACTCAACCAAGGGCTACAACCATAGTAAAAGGGGGGGGGGGTACCTGTCACTCAAGCACACAACACACACACACAGCAGGGGACATGTAAGGGACACAACAACCACAATATCTCTTCATATGCCGAGATCACAGAAACAAGTGAACTCTACTTCACTTGCCCCATAAACACTTGGAGTGCAATTCTTTTTTTTTACGAGATTCTATTCTATGTCCTGAGTTGCCATCCCTCGTAATTATATTCGAGAAAGTTTAGGGGAGATCACTCCCGGTTTATTTAAATAATATATTAATGGTCTTGCATTTCACATCAACGCAGGTCTGTGCGAGATGTTCGCTGATGATAATTCGTTGCATGTCTTTGCAGAAAGCGCTGATTCACTTGAGTATACATGTTGCGAACAGTTTCATCCAGGCATCTCTTCGGGGGGATCCGAAGAAAGTCTACCGCCCCCCCCCCTCCGCCGAACGAAATGAAATTTATATTGAAAATAAATACTTTTAACAGTGTCCAACCCCCCAGCCCGAAGAAAGTCTACCGCACCCCCCCCCCCCAGAAAATTTCTAGTGCTCCCCCGCAGAAAAAGTCTGGAAGAAACACTGGTTGTGAACACACGGACACGTCTTTCGGGTGATCCGATGCTAAACGCAACATATAAGACAAACAAACACAAACGGGTAACAAAACAAGACTGAATGAAACAAAGGCTCGTTGAAATTTAAAAAAAATTAAGAGTATCTACACTATGTACACCTAACACAATCTATTCTAAACACAAAATACACAAAGCTAGTAAAACTAAGATACAGTGGCTAAAAGCTAGTATAGACATAACCTCTACTAACCTTGGAGATCTGGATGAAACTGAGATAATCACACACGCGTTCCTACACGTTATATACCCTTTCATAAACTGGTACAAGCTGGACTATTACAACTCACAGCACGAGAACTGAACAAGGACGAACGGTATAGGGTACCAAGTAACAACATTCACCCCTTTCACTCGTTCACTTCAATGAACTTCAAATATTTGCCAATCAGCTTGTTACCTGGACAAAATTGAACAAAATGAAACTTCACTGCGATAAAACTAAATCAATGCATATTACAACTCACCAGAAAAGTCCTCGTCTTTCATCCACCTCATTACGCATTACTATAGACAATACAAACATTGAACAGGTTAACAGTTACAAATGCCAAGGGTTGATTGTAGATCACAAGTTCAATTGTTCCGATTGTATTTGAATTTTCTAACCATGACCCTATTAAAAGCTACTTTTCAGCTAGCAATGAAAACATAATTTGGTTCACTGTAGGAGTAGGTCGCTTTTTACTTTCTCGTATACAAATATAGAGGAAGTAATGTAATCATGCATACAATCGATGTTTTAAGCTTCCCTGAGTCGGAATAAATTAGTTTTGCCATCTTCACTGTATATGGGTGTTTGTCGGTCTGTGATTTAAATACCATTACAGCTAGGGTGACGAAATTTCATATGTATGTAGTATATAGAATTTTTAGTTTTGTATCAACTTTGAGATATTTCCAGTCACCGGAAGTAGAACTTATTCTATTTTCGCTTTTTAAAAACCTCAAAGTTTTCAGTTATATATAGATGAAATGTTACATATATGTAGAACATCTAATTATTATTCGATATATATATATATATGTATATATATATATATATATATATATATATATATATATATATATATATATATATATATATATATATATATATATATAGACACTGTTTGCTACAGGAATATTTAACCTGCAAATGGTCTATATAATTTAATCACTTTAAAAAATGTATAATTTATATAAGGCCGCGGTCACTCTAGGTCAGTTTTCTGTCACTTTAAACTCAATTATTGAAATCAACCCATTTTTCTGTAAAAAAAAAAAAAAGAGAGTGAACAGCAACCTTTTCCAAGAACAATTTCACTGCAACATTCCTGCAAGTACTCGATCTATTAGGTGTGAGTAGCCTACCTAACAAAATACCAAACAAACATCATACACTTTGCTTTTATAGATATAGATAGTCTGGTTGATCGGGTCAGTTTTTACACACACATCGTGAACTATGTTGAATATCGGCACATTTCCCAGTGTTCTATTTGCCCAACGCGCCCGCCTGACAAATTATAGTGCATGCGTCACGAGCAAGTGCCTTACCCAGCATCTGATCGCTTTGCTTTATATGTACATGTACATTTTTGTCTGTGACTGCATGAATATAATTAAAACAGAATTTAATTAATTATTTATATTATGCTGAATAATACTCGACCTTTAAGTGGTTTTTAAGAAATGTTATTTCACGCAGTTACTTTTGGTAGAAGTATATTCTTGAAGTAAATGCGTTAGTCACGTAGCATTTTTTAACAAACAATTAAAACAGGGCTGGAAAAAAGAATAGTTGGTAACGGTATGTCATTAAAAATTTTAATTGCCTATATAAATATACTTAGGTGTAACATATTGTGTTTTATAAATTTGTATTAACATACTAAGTAAATTAAAAAAAACAGTTCAATTTTTAACCAAATTTATTTATCTCGTCTAATACAATGATAAAGAAATACAAATACTATAAGTAACTATATAAAAAGCATTACTTTAATAATATATACCTACAATTAAAGCACACTGTTAAATTTGAAAAAATTAAAAGTAAAGCTTTTTTTGGCACATATAACAGTTATAATATTATAGAAAAACAAAAAAATTAATTTAAAAACTATTCACATGATTTGGTATTATATTGTATAATAATTGTATTACTAGAATATAGTATTGTTGTCGTAAATTGCTGTATACGCATTATGTTATTTATTACAACAATTACTTTTTGAATAATTTGGAAAAAGCATATTAGCACCTCACATTCAAGAAATACAATAGATGTATATTTTTTTTTGTATTCTGAGGGTATACTTCCATGGTGTTTAAATCTAGGGGAGTTTAGACAAGATTCTGATACTTTCGCAAATAATTTTAGCTACTTAATGTTTCGGATGTATTACGTGATACATGTAAAAAAATAAAAATAATGTTGAACTTGGTTGTTAATTTTGCAGATTAAATGGACAAGATTTAAAATAGATATAACTATTTATGGGAATATAAATAACAATTTTAAAAAAGAAGAAATAACTTTAAAAGTGCTTTTATAAATCTTTATGAACAATTATGTTTTATTTTCTGAATTTTTTTTAAAGTTCATGTGTGTGGAACTTGTTATCTACATTATACAACAAGTGGTGTGTAAAACACTATATCTTTGCTTTAAACTAGCAATTTCTCTTTTCAATTCATCTTTCTCCTCTTTTGTTATACTGTCCTTGTTATTTCGAAATCGCTTTTGCAGTTCTTTTAATTTTGACTCCAGACTTTGAGCGTTTATGTCTTCAGCCTGTTGAAGCTTGTAAAGAAGCATATCATTTTCCCCCTTCATTTTTGTCAAATTTAGATCTTTCTTGTTAATTTCATCGGTGTGACGCTTAGACTGATTTTGCTAATCAATTTTAAGTTGTTCATTTTTCTGTTTTATTTCTTCCAGCTGTTTCGACAGGTTATTTTTTTCTGCATTTGTGTTTTTTATACGCTGTTCAAGAATTTCGTTGTCTTTTTTGTGTTTCTCTAACAGTTGCATTGATCTTTTTTCATAGGTTTCTTTTTCAAGTTGTAACTTTTTCTCTGCATTTCTTTTTTCCTCCTGTAATTGCGACTGAATTTTATTTACTTGACTGTTTAATTGTTCCCTGGATTGAATTTCTCTTTCCTGATTTTGTTTTTGTAATAGTGCCCTCTCTTTTTCTCCCAATTCTTTATTCATCTTTAACTCATCTCTTTCTTTTAGTATTTGTTTCATTACAGATTGGTGTTTTTCGTTTACTATTTTTATTGCTTCATTTCGTTTCCTCTCCTCCTCAATAAGTTGCTTTTTAATTTCCTCTTCTTTTCTTTTAGATTCAAGCTGCATATTTTTTTTTTTCATCCTCATGTTTCTTGTGTTCACGATTTTTCTCTATGTTTAACTCGTAAAGTTTTTTATTCAAATGTTCTTCTTTTTCTTGGTGCGCACTCCTTTCTTGTTCAAACATTTTATCTGATGTAATAACCTCTGTTAAAATAGTAATCCTATCATCGAACATGTCTTTATATTGATCTATCTGTGTGATAAGATCAGCCAATGCACCAGTCTTGTTATCCTGAGAAACTAAATATTCACGGAGCTCTTCAGTTTTTCTAACAAGATCCTGAGTTATTGATTTTTGATTTGCATGATCATCTAAATCTTTACTTTTTTCAAAATCAGTCAAAAGCAATCGGAGCTGATTCAATACTATCTCGCGTATTTTGGGATATTTTGCTTCTACTAAAATTACTTTTCTTGAATTTTCTGTGATGCTAAAATTTTGTAAGCTGTAGCGTTTGCCTCCATGCTGAAGATTATCAACAAGATTCACTAATGTAGCTACTTGTAGGTTTCTTGTCTCCTCATCAATTGAGCTGTTATCAAACAAAACAACGCGGTGGTTACATTCAGATAACAAATCTTGAAATTCGCCTTCTTGTTGTTGACATCACTTTTCGAAATTCTTTTCTGTATTTTTTTTATCTTTTTTAAAAACATCGCCATGGGTTACTACAGTGATACCAAATTGTTTCACAAAGTCAACACCGAATATATTTTTCAACAGACGAATACATTCAAAATCCTCCTTTGTAAACCTAGCGCCGTATCTAACCACAATAAGAAAAGCATGATAGCCTTGTGGATTTATCGTAATCGCATTTTTCATGCTGTTGATTGCAAGCTCTGCCGCCTGCTCAATATCATGTATTGCTACCGTGTCACCGACACCAGGACAGTCAACAACTTTAATGACGCGGTTATCAAATATGGTAACTTCCGATGAAACAAGTTGTGTTACTGACTTAGAGCTTGAGGCTTCTTTAAAAACATCACGACCTAAAATCATGTTGCCTGTAGAACTTTTACCATTGCCAGTTTTACCGAGTAATAGAAGATCGAGCTCGTCATCTGCGTAAGCAATTATCTGTACAAATGATAAATAATTATTTAAATATCATAATATGCCTCATGTATTTAAAGATTTTATGAAAAAGTTACGAAGAGTTTTGTAATCAGCTCTCCAAACTTAATTGCTCTAACTTTCTTAACAAAATTTATTACGAAGAGGTTGCTTTGCCATTTTACTTAGCAATTATTTGTAAAAGAGTTAAAATGTTGATGTAGGCCTATACATGATCCAAATTATATCTCTAACTCAAACGACAACTGACAACAAACATCATCGAACATATACAGACACAAACCTTATCCCATCCTCGCATTTCTAGGTCTAAAAAAAACTAACACGCAAACTTAAACATAAACACAAAACCGTGACCTAAATCACAATCCTAACCATGAACACACAAAAATGAATCAACTATCACCTACACCTACACCTACACCTACACCTACACCTACACCTACACCTACACCTACACCTACACCTACACCTACACCTACACCTACACCTACACCTACACCTACACCTACACCTACACCTACACCTACACCTACACCTACACCTACACCTACACCTACACCTACACCTACACCTACACCTACACCTACACCTACACCTACACCTACACCTACACCCACACTTTCACCTACACTCACAGTATTGCCAGGGGCGTGAAATCGCACCCTGTCGGTACGCCAGCGGAACCGCCTGATTCAACTAAGTAAACGACTATTAATACCACTTTCTATAAGCCATTGCACTCACTTAATTGTGCTCGGATGGGCGGTGCCCCATCAGGCTTCGATTTGGTGTTCAATGCTGTAAGCACCACAGTGCCTACTGTAGTTTTAAGAGCACCCCATAATACGGACACTATGGCAAAAGACATTTATTGATTAAACGAAACTAGGAGTCGTACGTAGCGCAAATTAAATAGTGTAATCTTTGGCTCCAAAGAACTTCCCGCGACGCCCTTGAAACCTGGATGAACACTGATATGTTTTCTACCTTACTATTACTGTGTGTGATTAAATTACAAAAAGGGCTTTGATGTAACTTGCCTTTAGGCGTCTGGGCGGTAGTGTGGATAAACCATAGCCCCAACAACTAGGATATAAGAAATATAGCGCCGGCTTTGTTTACTTTTGAGGTCACGTTTCTAAAACCACACGGTTAGTAAAATCCTCTTAAAATTATACGCCAGCCTTTTCTGAAATCGCAGAAATGCGTGGGAAGGATACACTATTATTAAATACCATTTAAATATCGATGTTAGCTTATTGTGTAAATATTATACAATAGAGTAAGGTATGCGTGTTCAATACTGTTACACTTCTACTATTGTTTGTTTGTTACTTTTTTCACTAAAGTCAACCTTTGGCTTAGAAGTTGTTGTTATATTATGGTAAAAATCCATTCAATATTACATGATAAGAGTCCAAGAAATTATGTTTTAATATGCTAATCTTATACGATGTTATGTTTTCTAAGTAAGAAAAACACAATTATATATATATATATATATATATATATATATATATATGTATATATATATATATATATATATATATATATATATATATATATATATATATATATATACGCACACACACATATAAATATATATATATATATATATATAATATAACATAACGACTTTATATATATATATATATATATATATATATATATAATATCCGATAGCCATGAAACTTTCGGGAAAGAAAAATTAATATATTGACGACGCGTTGATTAGCCGATTTTCCCGAACCCATATAATTGCTGATGGCTAGACAGCCACAAATGAGAATAAAAACTTCAGGCTACAGATTCTTCAATTAAAAAAAAATTATGGCTGCCTGCAAATCTCTGACTCTTTATCGAAATTCAGGGTACACAGCGTCTCAGCGCGATTTCCCATAAAATACAAAGGTTATATAGGGAAATACAACTGGTCAGTTTTGACCTCTTTAGGATGTTCTCCAAGATATGCCGAGTTTTTTGTGACACCCCTAGGCGTTCGTCTACTACCTCACACAATTTATTTTTCACTCGCGATCATCATTTAGCCCTCGTCGATGGCTATGAGTCAAACCGAGGGTTTTTCCATACGGCCTAGCCATTTACCTAGGGGCTTGCAAAAAAATTGCAAGATATACATGTACTATGATAACCAATGCTGTGTGCGACACGAAAATCAGCAAAGTGAATAGTTTAAGGTAAAAACAGGAGTCAGACAGGGCTGTGTCATCTCACCTGTCATCTTTTTGGTGGTAATAGACTGGATTATGAGAAGAACCACTGAGGATACGCCAAGAGGAATTGTTTGGGAACTTACCAACCACCTAGAGGACTGTGACTTTGCTGATGACTTGGCTTTACTTTCACATGCCCAAAAAGACATCCAAGCAAAAACCACAAGAATAGAGCAAATTGCTAAAAGCATTGGGCTAAAGATAAACTCCGGAAAAACCAAGCTAGTGAAAATAAAAACCAAAAGTACTCTCAAGACCTTTGCGAATTTAGCAGAGCTAGAAGAGGTCGAGGACTTTAAGTACCTCGGCTCTATATATTAGCAAATGGCAGCATGGAGAAAGAAATTGCCACCAGAATAGCAATGGCGGCACAAGCTTTCAACAGACTCGCTAAGATCTGGAAATCATTCTCACTGCAGCAGAGAACTAAAATAAGGATCTATAAGTCAAATGTACGTTCTGTACTCCTCTATGCTGCAGAGTCATGGAAACTAAACAAGAAAGGAGAGAGCCGACTCAGGGGCTTTGAAAGAAGATCCCTCCAACGCATCCTCAGGATAAAGTGGGACGACAAAGTCCCGAACAAGGAAATATGGCGAATAAGGACAGGATTAAACGACATTGTCTCAGAAGTTCGAACGAGGAGATGGAGATGGCTGGGCCATGTCCTACGCATGAGCAAAAAAAGACTCCCCAACATGGCACTGAAGTGGAACCCACCCGGAAAGAGAAGTAGAGGAAGACCACTGGGAACATGGAGGAGGGAGATGGAAGAAGAAGTACAGGCTACAGGCAAAACCTGGCATGAACTAAAGTGGCTCGCCCAGGCCAGGGTGGAATGGCGGAGATTTGTTGCTGTCCTATACTCCACAGGGAGTGATGAGGATTAAGTAAGTAAGTAAGTAACCCGGGAAGTGCCCTATCGGGCAGCCTAGCACTTTGCTTTATATATAAACATAATTATATATATATATATATATATATATATATATATATATATATATATATATATATATATATATATATATATATATAGAGAGAGAGAGAGAGAGAGAGAGAGAGAGAGAGAGAGAGAGAGAGAGAAGGACAAAGCAGGAGCCGATAACCCTAGGAAGAAGAGAGAGCAGGGCCGGTAAGTTAAAGAGATGTAGACAGCATAGACGTCATTAAGGGTGCAAAATCAACAGCCAGGGACAGGTCAAATTGAAATTGGATAGTTATGCCCATTCCACTTTGAATTAAAACTCAAGGTACACTGCCTGTAGAGCGAATTAGGGCTACCTGAGTTAACACTGAAGAACTGGTTTCCACTGTTCAGTTGACCTGCACAGTGAATCAGGAGTATTGTATGACAAACCAGCTACAGGGTAGTCCCCGTCTCAATTGCAATTTAGATCAGGACAACGTATGATTTGGAACTTAGATAAATGCCTGGATTTAACTTTTCTATAAATATATTTTGTAATATAAGAAAGTCTAAATGACATTACCTTTGGTGAGACAGTTAAAATAATCATTTAACATAAGTGTTTTAAAATGCAGTTAGATAGTCATATTACTATTTAATTACATTTTTACAGAAATAAAATATAGTACAAAACAAAACTACAATTTTACAAGAATCTTTTAAATGCATTAAAGATTTACAAAATAAAATTTTAAAATTGCATTGGTCACTCATAAAATGTCTTACACATTTTAGAGACTATTTGCTTTTTTTAAAGATGAGAGCAAGTTTGTATTATTTTGTTTCTGGAGTTTGTTAGAAATCGTATTTGTATATATTTTGTACTAAGTCATGTGGTAGTCTATATACTACATGTTTATGAAGTTACTTCTGTTTTTGATCGCATTTTGTATTTTACAAAGAATAAATGTATGACTGTTACATATATTAAATCGCATAGCTTACTTGAAAACTCCGAGTGAGATATTTCTTTTTCTCCCTTGTTCTTTATAAGTTTTAGGCTTGCGTCAATTGAAGGTTCCTGGTTTGTTTCGATATCAAAGTGTTCATTTGCTGAAGTTTTATCATTCTCATTATGGTCAGTTAATGTAGGCAGTGCTTTTGTCCTGTACTGACCATGATTTTTTTTCTTTCTATGGGGCATATCTGGAGTTTTCTTTACGTCCTTACACATAACAAAGAGATTTAAACATAAATGTCATTTAAAGATTTATAAATATTTGATTTGAAAAGAAATTATTTTAATTGTTCAGGGTAAACAGCTCTGAATAGGGTGCGCGGATCTTTGACCACAGATGCTTTGCCCATAGGGGCTTTGGCCATAGGGGTTTTGACCATAACGGGGCTTTGACCATAGGGGTTTGACCATAGGGGCTTTGAACATAGGGCGTTTGACCGATCGAAATTACGGGCATATCTATTTGACAGATGCGGTTCGTAGTTTGTACGAGGGTTAAGACATGAACACAATGCAACATGACATTGATTTGACTTAATTAGTTTCCTAATTAATTTTTTAAAGAATTAATTAAAATATTTTCCAAATTAGTAGACTGTTTCATCAAACTATTCCTCATTAGTAGACGCGTCATCGCGCGCAGAGGTTTTTAGTCATGCAACTCTACACCCGTTTTCGTCATTAAGATCCATTGATCTTTAAGGGGATATGCTATTGTTTTTCTAATTAGTGATTAGCTGATTTCAGATATGTGTAATGGTTAATTTTAAACAGTCATGTTAATTGAAAATGTTCGTAATTTATTACTCAAAACGTAATTAGAACTACAGAGGTTCCTTGAATAGTATAACTCATAATTTATATTAAATTGACTATCAAAATTATTTTCTACTATTTAATTAGGATACATACCTAAATTTATAACTTAAACGAATGCCATACTTCGTAATAATATATTGTTTTTTTTTTTAAATTAGTATAAAATTGTTTGAAAACTAATTACTTTAGAAAGTTACCTCCCTTTTACATAGACCGAATGACGTAGTCTTTATTTACTTTTGTCACAAACAGTTAATATGCTTATATCAGAAATACGGCATCTTGACAAATCTAACGATCATACCAATTTTTTATAGACT